TCAGACCGTTGTTTCCTGGCACCTCAGAATCTCCTGTACTCAGGAATCCTTTAACATATTTTACGTTAATTAATGTTAATTAACTGTTTATTTCCTAGGACTATATTATTTATTTCACTACACATTGTATACCACCTAGAGGTCCCAGACGATAGTTGTGTGTGACCAGGATGACGTCACCGGTCATGAGGTAGTCTGGGCCATAGAAGGATGTGTTTGAAAAACCCATGTAGAAACCACCTCCATGGATCCAAAACATAACTGGTTTCAGGGTTTCTGCTGTGTCTTTTGGGAGCTGAAAATCAAAATTTATTATGTGATTATAATAAGTACGCTTATTGAGTACACGTGCTTAACGCATTCTGCAGATGTTTGGTTATAAGTGTTAACTTATAACGAAACATCTGCAGAATGCGTTATTACTACTATTACAATTATAAATTACTGAGTCAGTGCTTAAATCGTGATTGACTGATCTATCCCAGTCATAAGCTGGTCCTGCTATAGATAGACCCTATATTGGTAGTTCAGCCCTTACAGCTTTGTTATTACTGTCTGCAGCCGGTGGTCTCAGAATCTCTGTATATTTTGTCATACTAAGTATGCTATCGGTTACAAAATATGAGGTTTGAGGGGATTTTTGTTGATTTTTACAAAGGTGAATATTTAGATTGTAATCCGGGTTATGACGCCTGTGGTCTTGTGGACGGAAAATTCTGGCTTCCATTTTCGGGGTTAAAGTGAGAAAATGCATGCTACAAGAACGGCCTAGAACAGTGCACGGCGTGACTAATCATATCACAGTGTCCATACGGGTTATGATTGAACGTATCTAATTGGAATGACTGACGATATTTCAGGGCCACTGACTTACATGTTTTCGTAATTTTGTGTGAGTATGTTTAAAGGAGCGTCAGTTTCAAAGGCGTGTGATCCTGCCTTCGCTTGTGAGATTGCGTCTTGAAATGATGTGGAAACATTTGGTGAACTTTCTTTTATTACATTAGTGATGATAGGCACTCATTCGCATTCCGGATGCCACTGGTTTAATTCTCGATCTCGTCCTTCTACATCCTATTCACAATTCTTCATTTAAGTCACAAATAAATTTCGTTAGTCTTGGGCAACGAACAAGAAACATTGTTGGGTTCTTCTCACTTCATACCGTTTGATAATAATTGTTTAATTACGTACTTGAGGTGTATAGACATTGAGAAAGAGACAGTCTTCTTCTCCTGCGTACCCTGTGCCGATAATCTCAGCTACCTGCGGAGCGACAGCGCCTTCAGTAATGGCGTCGCGAATTCCCTCCCAGGCGTCTGCAGGTTGTGGAGCCTGGAAGCAGTTGACACCAAAAATTAAACTAATTGCCTGAACTTAAGCTGGTGTCGATGTTTGCCTTCTATGTAATAACACCTTGCGTGTGAACTTGTAGGTTGATGCGTCGACCCTAAAGTTGGTCGCAGTAAATTCCTCCGAAACTTTGGTACTACCGACAAGTTTATTCGCCATTGTTACCTGGAAGACCAACATCGACATCTTTATCGCTGTGAGAATCCCAGTTATTGTATTTGTATTTCCGTGGATCATGATAGGAAAACTGGGAGTAGTGAAACCTCGGTTTCCATAGCCGGCGGAGAATTTTTCTTTAGCTAAGCGACTGCTGGATACTCAAGCAGAGTATTTTCTCCGTGATTTCTGGCAGAAAAATGTCTGCGATCTTTGGCGATATCCTAGTAAAAGGATGAGTAAAAATGGTAATATATTTAAATGTAACGGTCAATTTACCTCAGAGATATCTTACGAAAGTTACAAGCTGCTTACTTTATTCTTAAAAAAGCAATGAATTAAATTTATAGCGAATATCAGGAAGATTTTGGTTCATGTTGCAGCCTAGTTGTCTTTTTAAGTGTCTGACGGACAGTCTCAGGTGGTAATTAATCTTAGCCATACCTTGAATCTGAGAGCTCCCACGGGAGGCTTTGCATACGGAATGCCCTGAAAGCTGTAGTACGTTTTCCCAGTTTCGGTTGCTACTTTCCTTCCTCTCAGCCCCCCTTGGGACACTTGAACACTCACTGTCTCCGCCATGGCTGCGTGTTGGTTGCTGCTGCTGGTGTTCTTGTAATCATGTAATATGCAATGAAGAGCAACAGCGTGCTTTATACTACTTGAATGATAGTTCAGAGGCCAACTGTTCAGGGCGTCCAATCTTTGGCTTCTGCGATTGTCATGTAGTATCTTACGATACGTGCTGGGATCACGTTTTCGACTTCATCCAAAACCATTTCTGCATTCCATTTCTGAGGACCCTGTCATCTGTGTAAATTGCAGCAGTAGGATACAGTATGTTTCTCCGAAACTTTGGCGTCTAGCGACTAGTCCTCACTGCGCGAAAACCCAGATCATCATAAACAGCAAAATGCTATTTAGGGAAATAATCCTTATTCTGAGAAATGTACGAAGGCCATAAATACACCTTGTGAGCAAAATGTAAGGTTACTGAATATTAAAATACACTAGGCGGTTCGTGTAAGTACCATTCTATTCTATTCTATTCTATTCTTCACTGTAATAATGCGCAATTGTCATGTGACGCGATTGTATACGTAGCTGAGGGAAGGTGGCTTCTTTTGTGTTTACGTTATGATCTTCTGGGTTGTTACGTCGTGTGGTCTTTAACCCTTTAACCGTGAAGATGGAGACAGGATATTCCTCAAGCGTTGGTAAACAACCAGACTACTATAGGTCACAACAACACTGAATACCACAATTGGAACTCATGCCGTCGTTAAAAACATAAATCCTTCTGTTGTGTTGGTTTTGGACACCCTGGATAATGTTATGCGTCACGTGACTGGAGCATATATGACGGTTGGTAACACAGGAAAAGGTCCAGATTGAAGTCAATAGCAATCAAAGGCCCAAAAGGAATTTTAGTACAATTACTCGCCTGATGTATTCAAGTCTCGTCACCAGAATACAGGGCAAGACAATGATATAAGAAAACCTGTATATCCTTCGAAAATGTGGCAAACTTCAATCACTAGGAAACTACTGAAACAAATAAAAATTATATATATGCACACGAACACACGTTGGCGAATAACTTTTGTCTTCTCATCTGTTATCTGAGAACATGAAGACTAATATGTACAAAATCATAATTATACATTTTCTTTTGTATGAACGCGTGTCTTCGTCCCTCATCCCAAGAGGAGGACATAAATTGAGAGAGTGCCCACCCTTCAGGATTTCTGACCAAATTGTCGCAGTCCACGAATATCGCCATGCATCGCATCTTTAATTCCAACGCCAGCAGAGGTTTACTTTCAGTAAGATGGTAGATTCTTATTCGATTTTTCGGGTGTATATTTTGATACATGGATTCGGCTACGCATGAACCATATTTACGTTGTTTGGAATATACCAGATTTCATGTCGATCTGTCCTTTGTTATTGTGCCTTACGTAAGTGTTTCCTATTTTATGGATGAATTTTTTTGGGTGGATTGCAGCCGCTATGTAAGGAGCTGTATCAAATTAGTGTAGTGTAGCGGATGTAGGTCTCTGCATAGCCTGTTTTTACCAGCCTGGAACACTGGGAAAATCTGTTATCTAATTCTTAACAAATGATTGCAAATTCAAGACGGATCAGCCTTGAATATAGTAGTAAATGCTAAAACAACATAAATTGTCCAAAAATAAGAAACATGCTTGTTGTCTATAAGTTAATGTAAAAACGATGTGTATTATTTCATCTGATGACGGCCCTTTAACCACAGCAGGTAGTGAGGTTTCATGACGGTTTCCAATTTTGTATTACAATAAAGCTGAAACTTGTTGTAAGCGACATACATTGCCAAACAGTGACGTCATTAACAGGTAGGATGGCTATTTTTTATCGTACACAAATGTTTTCGGGTTGCGCAAAGCATCAGTGGGCAGTGGATTGAAAACCCCTTGTGTATATAAATGACATGACAGTACAAAAGTGTATAAATGAGACAGGAAGTTATATCATCGAGGCCACTTATGATTCAGCAGTTTGTATGGTCCTAGCATTTTATGTGGATAGTGGCTTGTAGACGCCACAGTGGTCTAGCGGTTAGAACGCTGGCCTTGTAATACTGGGTCTCGGGTTCGATTCCCGGTGGTGCCCGAATTTATAACTTGTGTTGGGCAAGGCCGTGGTCTAGGCAACACGGAGTTTTCCTCCGGAGGCTTCCCCGGTTTCTCCGTGGCATCCCAACAATTACTCCATTCACACACAGAAGAAGGCAATGGCAAACCACTTGTGGATCATCTGCCAAGAACGTATATGAACAGGTCCCAGTCCGAGAAAAGGATGGAAGGATCCTGTTCATATGGACCTGTCGTCAGACAGAACACTAAATAAATAATAAAAATAGTGGCTTGTGTCTAAAGTTGTAATTACTCTGATATGAGATGCTTGTGGGCCAAGTTTTTTGTGTAGAACAATGAACAATATAAATTTAATCTGTAGACAACAATAAAACACAGACTACATTTTATGGAAAACACTTTATTTGCAGTTATTACGGTGTTCGAGAAACTTATAAAAAAAAATTTCTCATCCTATAACTTCACAACCATTGAAATGATTTTCATGACGTTTACACATATCGTCCGCCCCACATGTTTTACGCTATTTAAAAAAAAACATCGAAACTATACATTCACGGACTGAAAACCTCAAGCCGACAGAGCGAACGAGCCAAAATTGTTACGCTTTGTTCCCATTTACTGACTTTCCATTATACATTACATTACATTATGTGATATTCATCGCCCTGCTGATAGAGGCAGCAAGGACCTCTGTAACGTCAGTGAACTTCTACCGGACTACGTCGCGCAACAACCCAGAAAACAGCCATCTTTTGTTTCCCCTCTCTCTCAAAACGGAACCAGTAGTTAAATGGGGTTTTGGGGGGTTATGGTGGAGTAAGTACATGACTAATATGGTGACGCCTGTCCAAAACCGAGTTTGGATTAAACGGAAACCTGTCTTTGTCGGAAACGTTCTCTTCGTGCCGTTGCAATTGGCTGAAGGCGTCGAACAGTAGATTTAACCTATGAGCGCTGTCGATAGGTAAGGTCAGGCGATCAGATTTACGAAGAGGGTAGGGAAGTTCAGTTGTACGCTTAAAATGATGTAGGGATGTTGACAAATTTTACGAGCGGAATAGTGAGTGTAAATAATTTTTATGTTTCATGGAGATAACAGTTTTATAAGCCCCTGCCCCTTTTTAGTTATCCTCCTGGAGAGTCTCTTGCTCGCAGATTTAAATCCTAGCCCCGAAGATATTATTTACTAAATACAATTTTAAAAAAAACGCCAAAACAATCAAATATATATAATTTTATTTAAATATATTTCAGTATACATAAATACGTCAGTATATGCATGGTATTGCTAATGAGGAACATGTTTCGCGTATATAAAATATAAAAATACTGTGAAATACAATTATGATAAATGGCGACTGTGCTGGTGGCACTGCTTTACCACTGTAAGCGGTCACTGTGTCGTTGGTTGTCGTGTACCAAGTGACAGCCGCCAAATATAACCACTTTATAAGAAGCGACGTCACACATCTCTCTCTGGGGCAAACTTTACATACCTGAGAATCTCGTTCATCACCACAGTTGCTTTTTTAATTGAGTTTTCATTTTATTTTAGGCCTGACAAATTAAAACATTGTTTGTGCATCACAATTCTTTAAACTACATTAATTTGCGTGTTATTATTATGCATTATGAGGAGGATTTTATCATTTGTTGATCTGCTGTCAGCGATGTCAATATAACGTCCAATTAATGACATGTCGTGAGTGACAAACACGTTTGTCATGCAGTTTAATTTGGAAAGAAATGAATATGAAAGGTCTCCAGCTCGCTACCCGCAAGGGCGTGCATCTTGATTTCTTACGCAGAAAGAACAGTGGTCTCTCAAAGATTCGTTATAAATAAAATTAAATCTGGATCAGGACAGGCCCAATAATCTGATCATTGGTAGCTGAAGAAGAACATTTATTGTATCGTAATGAATTGCAGCTTTCGTATTCAGATATATATTCGTGAAAAAAGGTAACTTTATATGAATGACTAAAAATGCATAAAAAGCCTTGATGCGAAGTCACGATTAATTGCTAACAAAAAATATAGATCAGAGGCGGGACCAGACAATATATTTTGAATTGACTGAGAATCGAAGGACCTCGTGAGGGAAATTCCGCATTCAAAAATTACCAAATAATTATTAATCATTCGTTCTGATAAACATGTTTTATTTTTCACAATAATACGTAAGAATAATTAATTTAGACACAATATTCTAACCTCTGATTCGTGTTCTCGAGGCATTATAACACGCATTAAACCGAATATAGTGGGCCCAAGCCGAATTTCTCAAATCCAATAATAAATTCAATGTGTTACATACCTTTACTAAGAACCCAGAATGTTGACTTTTATTCATTTAATTTATTTGAGCGATTACAGTAATTTATATGGCATGAGACATTAATAAAAATCCGGATTTTTCATTATACGTGCGTACTGGCTTCTCCGCTTTCCCTTACGTGATTAATGTTAATCAAGCAGAGCTGGAAATTTTGTAACTTCCTGCAATCAGCACGTATACTTCTTAAAGAGTAAGAAATACAGAATTCACTTGCCGACAGATCACATTTTTTTCACCTTAGGCCTACATATGTTTATGACTGTTAGTTCCAGAAGAACTGTTAACACAGAGTGGTTGTGCTGATAAAAACTGGGTTTCTATCGAATTTGTCCGCTTCTAATGAAGTGATTTTTAGCCATTGACTGAGCACCCCTTTAAACCCCACTGGTAACTATATGTTCCACTTACTTTAAACTCCAATAACTCGGCATTTTTCCCACAGGGTGTATTTATGAGTTTCATTAGACTCTCAGAGTAAACAACGATTATTTCCCTAAACAGCGTTAACAAACATATTTGTAATGTAGAAATTTTGTGTTTACTTTGTGGTACAGACGCTTTATAAGTCAAATTTAGTCGAGCTTTGGCTTGTAAGAGTTGAATAAGAAAATCCGAAACGTAACAGATAACGGATCACACGATACAATAAATTATTATATAGAACACATAATAATTGAGAGAAAGAATAATAATGACCATGCACTGTCTCTTCTCGGTTATTTGGTTGTTTGTTGTATAAACTTTACTACAACGCGTATACAAACTTTTTCGTTTGTCATCAGTGTTTCCAGGATAAAATCGCTGTGAAAAATGGTCATTTAAGTTACAGCCTATAGAACACTATAAGTGTATGCTTTGTGTACCGAGTCGTTTCTCCTGAAGCTGGCATAAACGGTGTATCGTATTGCACTTATTTTGACAACGGGAGCCATGAAGGTTCCAGAATGTGCGAGCTCAACATCCAATCAAATGGCGCAATTTGAGATGTCTATTCTTCGAGGGAACGAAAAATGTCTTCCCAGAAAGTGATACGTTCTTTGTTCAAGTGAAGATGCGTTGTGAGCTCAGTGTCGATGTTCAGGTACCAGCGTTCTCCGAGAACAGTGGGCTTCCATATCACATTGACCAGCCAGTCCTTCTTCGGAGTCGGACACCTGATAACATGGAACATAGGAGTCGTGGCTGAAAAACTGACACAGAAGTTTAATTCTTAGTATAAACTACGATTGCAGTTTGAGATAAACGTTCAGAGAGCAAGATGTACTCTACCCAGTCTTCGCAAAGTTTGTCCACATCTTGACGAGTCGCGATCGAGTCTTCGCCTCTGGACTGTCAGGATCCAAGTCGGGATCCATGTGTCCCACTCGAAACAGGTAACCCAACTCATCAGAATGACACACACCTGAAAATTGTGTTTAATTAAACAAAGTTTCAAGACTTCTCGCAACGTTCAAGAGTCTGAATAAAACATCTTCAGTACCCGATGACTTGGGCTTCCGAGATTGCGCTTACTGGCAGTCTGGTAACTGATAGGTTACAATATCAACTAAATAACTTAAGGGATATTATGCATTGTAGTCTCATCACTCTGATGGAGGCAGTAAGTAGCTCTGAACGTCGGTCAGCTTATACGAGACTACACGACCTGCTCTTCCGCTTTGAGAACCTAAAACCTCACAAATCAGTAACTTCTTTGCTGATAATATTACAGGCAATTAATGCTGAATTTTCGTGCACTGAATGATAAATCCCCCCACGCGATTGTGTTTGTCATGAATTAACGGGCCCCAAACTCTGGCCACTTCTCTAGAGTCTATGAACTGAAAAATTAAGAGAGGTTGTTCAAGCAGAGCGACCGCAGGTGCTTCTGAGACGTTTGTAAAATGTCAATTAACGCAAGTCGTGTCTGTCTTACCATAAAGTACATACATCTCGGGGCTTACAGCTAAATAAATAACTAAATTAAACATAGAGTAAAACGTTCGGTTGCATCTATGAATGGAATTGGCTTTAAACGACGAATACGTATGAAACAGCGCTCAAGTCACATATAATGTGTTTTGAAAATTAGTGCATTCCGAGGAGCATATCCGTTTACTCGTCCATTCGTCACATAAAGGCAGTGATTAATAAGACGTATGCTCTTGGAAAATATTCCCAAAACCTCGTGAATATAAGGATGCGTGTGAGAACTTCGTCTTACGACACGAACAGCAGAGTAATTAGTTTTCAGTCATGGCTCTGTGGAACGGTTTATTGCCTAATGCTTTATCCTTCTATGAATTTCTTTTTTGTCAAAATGGAATGCTTCTGTCTAGTGTATATGAGTACTCAGTTAAGATGTTAATGCGATAAGTATTTTAATAAAACAGGCAATTTAGGATCAACAACAGCTACACAGTTAAACTGTGTTTAATTTTCAAACGAGCCTTGTCATTCCTGGTACCGACTTCTGAAACAGAACATTTTACGATTTAGTATCAGTGAGAACGTCTAGGCCTCTGTGAACATACATGAAGCAGACGTTAAACTGGATTTTATACAATGCAGATGTAACTCACCTGGGTACTGCGTCATTCCAAGTAGTTGTTTCAGGTACGCCAGTTTTCCATCGAATGAAAACCGGTAGCAGTATACAGGGAATGTAGAATGTAATATATGTCGTACAATTTGCATGTAGATAGGAAGAACAAATTGAACATCAGTGTTCAGCTGGAAAAGAGCAGAGTACAATGACTATCAGTAAGATGATTTCATAGAACTCAGGTTCGTTGCCGAAACAACCTGCCACAATCCATTATTCTGACCGTGGTTCGTACAACACATCACAAACTTCACGCTCAGTCCAGTAACATCGAACTGATTTTAAAGGACTCTGGCGATAGTGTATTATAGTTTTTATTACCGGGTTTCTGGACTTGTCCGTCTTTTGGTATTCTTAAAAGAATACAACATTTCGGAAACTGGGTCTGTTTTCGTCTTCAGGTGAAAGGGTGGGGGAGTACTGGGCCAGTACTTGAGAGAAGCTCTTCATAATGGACCCAGCTGCTTGGGTATTTCCCACGTCTTCGCCCGAGGACCTCTTCTTAGCGCCCTATAAATTAATTACCTTAACAATACGAAACTACTGTGTATTCAAGGTCTGACAATTCCTTAAAACAAGTCATGATTAAGGCCACACCATAAAGAGGTCACTCCTTTTTATTATGTGCTGTTGCCCATTACCAGTATGCAGAAAAACTTTTAATGGCAGAAATATTGGCATTCTTTAATGCATGATTTCTGATATTATTTACGAGGCATGGAAAATCCCAGGTTTTATAACTGTTGCCACGCTCAAAGATGGGTCTGTTACCTTAGCGCAATCGTTGAATTAATTTGCATTAAATTTGTTAAACCAAAATTTGTCAACGTATGGTTGGTTAAACTCGGATAGCAGTAACGGGCACGTTTCATTAGTAATTGCGTGCATTTCTGATTTTAAACGTAATCTTTATGCCACTTAAACCTTAAGAGAATCTGATGTAATGAAAATTCTACAGCTCTTATTTAGTGGTACAAATGCCTATTGCTCTGTAATTGGTATAAAATTATACTTTTAACACTAGTCTGATGTGGAAATTATTCACTCTTTAAAAAAAGATTTTTATTAATTTAATTAGGTCTATTATCAGCATTACGTGTTGGTAAGTGGTGAAAGAACCCTCGTTTCACATTGCCGACTTTTCAGGGAATTTGTTTAAATATCTGATCCAGTTCATTTTCTGCATCTCAGTGCCCAACAGTTTTCAGCTTGTTGAAATAGACTATGGCGATCGTCTGATGGGGCATTCACGTTTTAAGTACATGGCGCAGATATTTATTTTGCTAAATGTGTATTAAAATATGGTCGTACATTGTTTGATCGAGACGGCTTCCGTTTTAACCAGGGGAAGTTGTGAGTGGTTATGTTTTACTTACATCCACGTACTCCAGTAAGGTTTCCTGGCACAATGGCCGGTCTCCAAAATAGAATCGCCTGACTTTACGGGCCGCTTCTTTCAACTGACTGGCACTCAGCTCCACGTGGATTACTCTTTTAACCAAGAGCTCGAAGTTCTTGTTATATATGTCCAGTTGTTGTGGGTTCATTTGAATCTCTTTTGAAAGAAACATGAGTATAGTTAGTGCCTGCAATTATGAATGTGCATACACGTTGTAATGTATCTAAAATATTATTATAATACGTCAACACACAACAGTTTCACGTTATGTCTTGTACTCAGTTTTCTTGTCACATGTTTCAGTTCATAAACCCATGTTCGGATCATCGTTATTTATTACGTATTACTACACTGTTAAAACGCAATGGGATTTTGGTTGTCTAGAATATAAATTAAAGGTATGTAAGACTTGAGGTTCTCACAGCGGTGAGTATGAAGATTTCCGTCTTCTGGGTTGTTGCGCTGTGTAGACTACACAGCGCAACAACCCAGAAGACGGAAATCTTCAAATTAAAGGTAAATTATATTACATGTTACACTACTTCATTGGTTCGTTTAAAAGTAAAACACAAAATTAAAGTTGGCGAATTAAAAATAATTTACTGGTTGCCGTTAAATTCCAGTCAAAATAACCACATATTTGATCGGCATTATGCGGTCTTATTTGTGATTAAATTGTTGGAACATCCCCACGTGAAACCTGGTAAGTTGGGGTTGTCATGGTCGAATAAGAATGGCAGTTTCTGTAGAGCCCGGGTAGTTCTCGACATATTATGGATGAAAAATAGGTATGAATTTGGAGTTGTGATACTGTGTTGTGTACTGTCTGGCGGGGAGTAAAACACAAGTTTACTCTGACACTGCTCAAACACCTTGGTGTTCAATGATGCTGAAGTAAATCAATAAAATGATCATGAAATTTGACATATCAAACTTTATGAGCCATTTAGAAATTTAACTTGAAAATGTGATTAACAAAACACTAAGATAATGTAAATAATGGTGTTCTAGAACAGCAGGTGACATCGTGTGTCTTTGTAGTTGCCAGTGAATAAAATGCTGATTGTCAAAGAGGAATGGTTCGGGTCCATTAAGCTTGTTTGATGTTTTATGTCACCTGATGTCACTACCACACTCACCTTTAAGCATGAGTAGGCCCTCGTGTGAAGTTATTCCAATTATAAGAGGCACTTTATGGAACCTTCCCTGAGTCATCAGATCAATGGGAGAATCATGAAGGAAAATTTCTTGTCCTTCAATTCTTCCGCGCTCGATTACAGGTGTGAACAGACATTTCCCTCTGTACTTCACCTATTGCAGAAATAGTAAGGCCGTAGGGTGAGTCAAATTCCATATTTAACAGGCCGTCTTTTCCACTTACTACAGGCATGCCTCCATATTCACGAGAGATACATTCTGCAAAATCATTTTAAACAACGCTGTGGACCGTTACAAATACACAAGGTGCCCATAAAGTAGCGGACGAATTTAAGAGCGTGTATTTATTTATTTATCTATCTTCCTTTTCACGTCTATTTGCTTTACTAACGTAGCTTATATTTGGTTCCGAGTGCTGTAGGTAAGCGGGAACTAAAAAAAGTTGCTTGTTTGACAACTGAGAGCAGACTGACGAGAATCACGAAATGCTACGTGGAGGATAGATGCTAAGAATATGTGCGAAGTTCATGAAGATTCATGAAGGGACTCTTTTTGAAAAAAATATTTGTTATTATGTATGTTGGTAGGACGATCACGAATAGCAAATTAGCGAATATGGAGGGATGTCTGTAATTAAATGGATATTAACAGTATTTTGTTATCGAGTCCCAGTCTAAGCCACTCGAATGAAGTTTGCATTAACCTAGTTCTGTGATCCCCTCCCCTCCGAATGATCCTTTCATCCGCTTACCTGTTTCCCAGTGGCCTTTTCCAGTGAGATTCTAACCCAGAATGATCTATGAAAAATATTAGAACTTAGGCCTCCAGCAGCTGGTATCCTCGTGGTCTTACTGAAACTTGCTAGACGAAAGAGCGACTGGATTCTTAACAATGTAGCAAGCAACGTTTCCTTGCAACAACGAATATTTCACGTCCCACTAAAACGAAGCAATGATGTATGGTGAAAACAAATTTGGCAGGATATTAAAATAATAAATAGTAAAGTTGAATGTGAATAATTTGAATGACAATTTTTCCTCGGATTATGACTACGATTACACCTATTAATAATACCGTGAGAGAGTTCAGGTTCTCTCAGTGACGAGTATGAAGATTGCTGTCTTCTGGGATGTTGCAGCGCGTAGTCTGGTAGAAATGGACCGACGTTTCAGAGGTGGTTAGTGCCTCCCTGAACAGGGCGGTGACGATTGACACTGATTACGGAGGCAGTAAGCACCTCTGAAACGTCGGTCCATCGCGACACAACAATCCAGAAGACAGTCATCTTAATAATAACGCGTTTTCGCAAGACGCTAGCTCCTCCGACGCACACTATACGAAGTCATTACTTTATTTACCTCCTTTACTTTAACTTTATCCTGGCTCTCCACAAGACGCTGCACTGACACTGAGCGAAGGAATTCCACTAATTTGCTTGAGTCGTTCGTCCTGCATCCCAGGACTTCTCCTAGTGTAAATGCTTTCTTCCGAGGGTTCTCGTCGAATGCCCATGGATTCATAGCTGATCCACTTTGAGATATAGCATGATGGAACAGTCCTGCAGATAACCCAGCCTTTTCAGAATACAAAATTACATATAGAGAAAAAAAAATTGATTCATCAGATTCGGAAAAGTGTCTCTCTTGGTAGTTTATATTAAGGTAACCATTTTGTAGTTTTTATTGTATTGTATTTTTATTCGTATTCTGTGCTCTGCCCCATATTATTTCGACAAAGCAAAATTCACTAACGGCTCCGCGACTTTCTTTTGGGTAGGCTGAAGGAAGCTTGAATTTTAACAACGAATTACATTAAATTTGTAATACATAAATAACTGCATTAATTTTTCTTGAGTTACATGCAAAACTTAACTTTTTTGGTCCTTGTGTTACATTAGCTTTAGAGTAAGGGTTTTTGTTTTGTAGTGTAATACATCACCATCCTCACCAAATATTGTTATGGTTACAAGATCAATGAAATAAAATTGGTGGGCGCTTTTGGGAAAGAGATGAGAAATGCACATGACACTTTATTTTAAAGACTTTAAAGGAGGAACCTACTTGGGAGACCTAAGCATAGATGTGAAGGAAACAGGAAGAAGGGTCTAAATAAACAGGGTGTGACTATGTGGACCAGCGAGTTTCCAGGTTCTCACGGCGGCGAGTATAAACATGGCTGTTTTCTTGCATATTGCGCCGGGTTGTCTTGTAGAAATTTCCCTGATGGTGAAACCAGTAAGCACCTCTGAAACGTCGATCAGTTTCAACTAGACTGCTCTGCGCATTATCCCAGAAGAAAGTTGTCTTTATGTGGTCCAGATCAGGATTGGGTCTAGTTATAGGTCTTGTGATCACGATCAAAAATAAACCTAATGTTCCCATGAAATTCAGATAGTTTATACAATATTACTCACCTTCAGACATGGGAGACAACATATGAAAGTGCACACAAGCACCTCCGGAGCTTCCACCGAAGATAGTAACGTTGCCAGGATCCCCCCCAAATTGCGCAATGTTCTGCTGAGGGCCATCACCTGGTCCTTCAGACCGTTGTTACCAGGAACCACTGAGTCGCCAGTACTGAGGAAACCTGGAGGATAAATTCTGCATTTGTTTCAAGTAGCAAGTCTTGTGCAGTGAAATGCTGTACATCGACATCTTCATCACAAGAAATAGCAATCGTCAGTAACATGTGCGACATCTGTAGATGCCTGGCTGTTCACGATATTAAGAAACTCAGGCACAAAGGCGCAGACAGGAGGATAATCTTAAAATGGGTGTTAAAGATATATATGATATGGATTTATCTCACTCCCTATAAGAAGTGGTGGCGGGCTGTTGTGAACATGTTAATAAGACTTTGGGTTCTATTAGTGGCAAGAAATGTTAACAGCTGAATGGTTATGGGCTTCTCAAAAATGATGCTGTTCCATGGTGTTCCTCATATGGACACAGGTTTAAAATTAAGCTGTGATATTTACACAGCCATTTAGTATTTAAATATTAAAACATTAATTTCTTATCGCAAAGTAAACACAGCGCGTCTCCATTACAAAGATAAATTGGTTAATGTTGTTTAAGGAAATAATCGCTATTTATTCTGAGAATCGTGAAAAAACAAGTAGTCTGCGTTTTATTCCTTTTGGATGACATTTTTCAAATTTATGTCGATTGATTCCTCTGAATCTTTCGATATGTTCTGTGCCACATCGAACAATAACTGGCGATTATATACAACTTTTTTACCGGTTTAGCTGGTGATTTCGTGTAATCGCTGATTTATATTCATAATAACTGGACTACTCACTTCTACTGTACTCATATAAGACAAGTATGCTGCAGTATGTTGATACAGAATTTGAAACATAGCAGCACATGCTACAAACCATGCACCGTTTCGATTATAGGCGGTTCGGCGATGTGCAGTTAAAACTCGCCTTACTTAAAAACAGGGATTTCCTTTTTTCTGTCTTAGTTAAAACTACTTCACACGAAATCAATGACTAATAATAATGAGTGCTGCAGTTACCTAGAGGGCCCAGGCGGTAATTTAGGGTGACAAGGACGACTCCTTCAGCCACCAGGTAGTCGGGCCCGTACATCCAAGAATTCCCATCTCCCATTGCGAATCCACCACCGTGGATCCACACCATGACAGCCTTCAAGAAATCCTCAGATCCTCCTGGAAGCTAAACGAGGATAATTGCGTCTCAAGTTTTTCTTTTGTGCAGTTATTTTATTTGGAAAGAGGTGGTCGTGGCTTACTTAAAACTGTCTTCAGAATTTATTTTCGTGCAGCGAATCGTGCTTGTCAAATCTTTTTTCGGAGTAACATAACGATATTGTGCTATCTTACAAACCATGGATAGAAACAGCACCATAGAACACTGACGTACGCGTTCCATTCAAAGCCATTACTAGGAACAACACAGTCGCCTCTCTACGGCTTCTAATGAGTCGAATTATTAAGGTGATAAAATCAGGACGTATTAGATGAGCGGGGCCTGTAGCACGCACGGAAACTGAAAAATGCATACACAATTGCATTCAGAAAATCTGAAAGAATGAAACCATTTGAGGGGCCAGCATGAAGATGGGTGGTTAGCTTCAAATGGATATTGAGTATACATGGTATGTGGGTGTGGATTGTTTCATGTGGCTCGAGATAGAAACTATTAACGGACTCCTGTAAACACGGTAATGAACCATCCAATTCTGTATAAGACGAGGAATCTCTTAAACAGCTGGGAAATTATCAGATTTTTAAGAGATTCCACTTCATATGTAAAAAACGAACGTACCTTCGGAGTATACACATTAAGGTACAAACAGTCCTCTTGTCCTTTGAATTCTTTCTTGAGTAGTTCAATTTGAGAACAGATTGGTCCTTCGACGAGGGCATCTCGCATTCCATCCCAGGAGTCAGCTGGCTGAGGAGCCTGCAGACGAAAGAATCAGAAAAACTGTGCCTAAGACATGCAACATACATTGCTCACACAAAAGATTCGTTCTGCGTCTACATTTCCATGCTCAAAGCGATTTCTGTTGACCTCAGAATTGATGGGCACTTGCAGTACATAATCGTCATGGGCATTATTATCATTATCTTTGTTGTTACAATTGTGTATTATGACTACTACTACATTATTACTGTTACCAAATCTCCAGTGTTCGAACATTAACGTCTTAAGATACGCAGCCACTGTGATAGACAATGTATTTATTATATCGCAGTATGGATAATTAATATTATAATAGAGACTGAAACATCAATTGATATTTACAGACAGTCTTGCGGTTACAGAGAACTCGAACATTCGAGGATATGAATAACTTTTGTTTTAACTATAATAAACTTCTGACGATGGTTCCACTTTTGAAATTTATTGTACAGCATGATTTAGACCACTGTTTGGCAAACGGTATGGTCTCAGAAAGCACTTAAGGCACTCTAAACCGATATTAAGAGTCCCTGGCGTAAGGACATCAGAAGTGTTCTACGTCGGAGATGAGGAAATGAAAATCGTGTTTCATGCACGCTGTAAGTTACAAGTCAGCGTATTCTTAAGACGTTTATAAAAAAAGTAAACGAATTGTTTCTTCGGCTTTTACAAACTGTGTTGCTTGACGTAGTTTCAAATGCTGAAATTTCTTATTGTGCGTATTCAAAATACTTGGTTTTAAATATTTCCACACCAGACATGTGCTTCTGTGCTAAAATTAATTTGGAATTTTAGAATTTCCATACCCATGGTGTTAGAAAATAGTTTGATACTTAATTCATGATAGCCTTTTGGTTGTTAATGTACCATGGCTGATTGATATGTCTCATTGCTGAGCTGGACACGTGGAAAAGGTGTTCAAGGGAGTGGGGGGGGGGGGAAGACAGCACATTCCGGCAATGGGATAATTAACTGCACGTGCCAGTCCAACACGGAAAGGTTATCTTAGTTTCCACATATCTAGAAGGCTATGGATGAGTCATTCCAGCCTTCAACCAGGAAAATATCACCTTATAGCAGCATCTGCTATCTGCGTGCTCTAATCTCTGGGCAACAAAATATAGATTTATACAGAAATAAGGCGCAATGTTGTGTATTTTTGAGGCTATACTGTAATAAAATGCAGCAAAGTCCTTAAAAAAATTACTAACGAAAATATTATTCAAACGTTACTTATGAAGTTGTACTTTATTACAGAATTTTCGGACCAAAATCCGATAATGCTGAATAGGTATCTTTCCTGATTTGCTCAGTATCTTCAGGTATGTCGTGATAGTATGGTATATTAAAAAAGGTGATGAAATCAAACGCGTCTTTGATTAACGTATTTTCACAAAGCCACTGTTAGAATCTGCTTCGACGTAAGCTTCAAGTCTGCTTCGTCCATAACGGCTGCAGTTACAGGTTATTTATTCCTTTCTTTCTTTCTCGTTCGTATTTGTTAAGAAATAAGACAGCGCAAGTACACGAGTACCCCATTTTGAAGGATACTGAACAACCTCCTACCCCTTCATTCGTCGCTGCTTGACTAATTCTCAATGTTTGTTTTTGCACCAATTAACCCCATGAAGAGTTGTCCTTCAGAAGCTGCTGTCAACAAATACCCTGAAGATTTCCGTCTTCTTGGTTGTTGCGCTGTGTAGTCTGGTCGATATTAACCAACGTTTCAGAGGTCATACTGCCTCCGTTATCAGGGCGATGCATACTCGCCACTGTGAAAACCTCAAATCTTACAACAAATACCCTATCTTTCATGCAACCCATAGCGCCATAATTCTGCTCACAAGAACCCACGTCTGGTCTCTGACCCACATGAATCCAGTTCACATCACCACATGCTTCTTCAAAATCTACTTTAATGTTATCTTCCCATCTAATACGGGACTAAATTATTCCCGTAAGATTTTCCGACCAACTTTATGTATGCATTTCTCAACCCTCCCGCCCAATCCACGATTTAATTGCTTAATACGAGGCATGTCCCAAAAGTAAGTTTCGCACTCGTCCCACAGCTAGCAAACCTTATATTGGGCGAAGCGACTGTGCGTACGTGATAGAGCAATGACGTAGCATGGCGCATGCACTAACGGTACTTCCCGCGTTCTCACAGTAGCATCATTGCAGCTGTTGAAGATGGAGGTTCTTATCCCAGCTCCCGCCGACTGTGAAGTGCGGTCAGTGATAAAGTTTTTGAATGCACAGAGCATAGCGCCGATCGAAATTCATCGTCAGCTGCCCAGGTATTCAAAAGTTGGTCCCACGGTATGACCAATGTCTCAATTCTGGTGGCGAATATGTTGAAAAATAGCTGGACACTTGCTGTATCTGTTGCAATAAATATTTCCATGAAATTGTGTTTTGTTTCTGTAAACGGCCCCAGGGAAACTTACTTTGTGGACGAGCCTCGTATTTGGCGAATAGACAAATTACGAAGTCCCTCATTATGAAAATTTTCTTCAGACTTATGTTAAATCCTCCCGCTAGATCTGATTAGGGATACTGTCATCTCCCCGTTCTTTTATATTCTCTTAATGTGACAGACGACGTTTCGCACCCATACAAAACAACAGGTAAATTTATAGTTTTGCAATTTCAATATTTACGGTTTTGGACAGAAAACAGGAAGACTAAAGATTCTGAACTGAAAGGTGTTTGTAATTTCTTCGTGAATGTAGTACTTATTCTTTGCTTTCAAACGATGTGTTTGGCTCCTATTGTATTATAATTTTTGGTGATGAGATGTGAGCATGTACTTAGTTTCCTCAGCAGTCTCTGTAATAATTTCTGTGTTTCCCATTTTGGCACGTAAGTTATCGCCCAGTGTATTGCCCCAACACGGACCAGTAGCTGACGTGTTTCATTCAGTTCCAGTCGCTCTTGATTTTCTTGGACATGCCTAATAATAAGATGAATTAAAGTGAAATCCACACTGCAGCTCTGATGTGTGTACGCCTGTATATGGAATGTGAATGCCATCCAAAACCAAACAGAGGTTTAGGAGTTGCGATCGGACGAGGAATTAGACCACCTCCAACTTGCACAGCAATTATAATACAGTATCAATAAGACTAAATATCATAAAGTCTGTATTTTGCAAAGCGTTTTCATGGACTGTACCTCACAACGCGTCGACAGCTGCGTTTCAAAGGTCGTAGTTTAATCTTGTCTTCAGGAAAGATATATCTAGGTATCAGATCTGGTAACAGTGTTTATGTAAGCTTATGAGCATGATTTTAAAGTTCATTCTGAAACTCGTGTTATAAATAATTTCTGAATGAGTTTTCTTATATGTGTAGAATTAGAAAGATATTCCTTTTGAAATGACAGTTTTAGATTAATTTCAGTAATATTTTAATCATCTTCATTTCACCATTTAAAGCCCAGCGGTAACTATGTGTGCCACGTGTTTTAACGATCTATAAGTCTGTAATTTGTATTTATTGGTTGTGAATACATCAGACAAGGGCACCACGAATATGTGACCAGTGACTCAATGCTGCTCCTGCATCTTGCAGCTTTGGCTTCAGTCAAGAAAGCATCTTGGTTTACATTGCAGAAAACATGACGTCATGTTAGTTTGGCAGCTCATCATACATACCTTATATTATGACAATGTGTGATGATTTACTATTGTAAAATATTGGTGTACTGTATTTTCAGTCTTTCGCGTTGAGAAACCACAACTGCTCACGTTATCGAATGCGAACGAATTTAAATAATATAGGATTTGAAACTTTCGCGGCGAGTGCAATCAATAAAATCGTCTCGGGCAATCAGTCGCGTTAACTGGTTACCGTAGTAAACCGAAGTTTCGGGAACAAACTCTGTCCCCATCTTCAGGGTTTTGATGTTACTGGATCCTCGGAAGCAAAATGCCGCGACTTCCGAGGATCCAGAACCGTGAAGATGGGGACAGAGTTTGTTCCCGAAACGTCGGTTTACGGTAACCAGTTAACGCGGCTGTTTGCCCGTGAAGATTTTATTGAAAGTTAAATAACACGATAAAAGTGTGTATTACAAGGAAACAGTGGAGTGTCCACGCCTAATATTTTGGTCTGGAAATCAGGAGACGGTCCAGTGTCATTCTGCAAACCCCAGGCCGAATCGGAGGGTAACAATTAACTGGGTCTCCTTGCAAGACATCGGACGCCAATTTTGCCAAGACTGCTTTTCGATTTAGGTGAGATCTGATCTGGAAAAGCCGTGCGAAAGTTTTCTTGAGGCTGTTCCTTTTTCCCCGGATTCTGTTGGTATTGCCAGCTTTGTTTAACCTCGTCAGTTGGTAGGATAGCGACCAGAGTATGAACTAAATCATATGATTACGTAAGACGGGATACAAAATGCATCTTAAGTCGTGTTATAATGAAGTTGGAAGTTACAATGCGTTTCTATGTAAATTAAATTTGCCATTTTATTTCTGCACTGAGACACTTTCAGATGTCACTTTCCGCATGTTTTCAGATAAAACGTGACGTAGTTTCGTCATGACTGATCGAGCATGTGAATGTTAACATCGGTCACTGCACTAATCACACTTTACAGTGGAGGTGTCGTGCATTTTCCCAACACAAACCAGCGAGGGTCAAATTCTGTAGCGGTAACTGATGAACGGATAAATTAACTGCTGGTTTTCTCAGGGCACTACATGTCTCAGAAGATGATTATCTTCTGGGTTGCGCCGTGTAATCTGGTATAAGTTTGCCAATGGAGGCATCTCGGAATCGTCGGCCGACTTCCACCAGACTACACATGGCGCAACAACCCAGAAGACAGCCGTCTTCATGTTTCCCGCCGTGAGAACCTGTTTATTTACTACAATAAAGATATTTGGCGTCTGTATGGTTTTGGCAGGAAAGGCAGCAACCACTAGTGATAGCGCGTTCCACAAAAGGTTCAGTGACCGACCTCATGATTCGATATTTTCATCAATCGGCCGGATAGACAGGGGGAAAAAATAACACTGCTAAATACAAACTATTTAGTCGCTAAAAGGAAAATAAATAAGATCTCTAGTTGTAAAATAGTAGCTTTAAGAGTTGTTGAAACAAATGCTACTGAACGCTAACCGCTTTAAATTAAGGGGCTGTTTGCGTAAACCATTAGGGGGGATAAGAAGTGGGCGTTATCAGCTGACAGCTCATTCATTGGGATGGCCAAAACTCCACATACATCCTGCGCGCAAGTTGTAGTTTGCCGGATCCTCTCGGATTCACTCCTGTGCATTAGGCTTACGTGTATTTCTATGTTGGAAAGAAGTTCCGAGTTATTTAATAGTCGCTTTCCATTATGTTTTGGCTATAAAAATACCTTGGCTAGCGAAATTTGTACATCCGCCGTCTTCGTATTTTGACACTTGTGTTGGCATGTGTCCGTCCTATCCAAAAACATAAATTCTCTACAAGGCAGACATTTATAATTTTCTGTGAGGTCCGCATCTTTGGATTACATGTAGACTAATAACTTTTACACAGAAACACTGTCCAAATGTCTGCAGGAAACTCACCGTCCGTCCTTTTACCATCTGAATCCGAGTGCTAACTGGCTGTGCTAGCTGCTTTAACAATAAGTAACTGTATTTTGTACGATTCTCGGTATAAACAGCGATTATTCATTGAACGGGTTTGCCCAGTTGATCTCTGTAATGGAGATGTGTTGTGTTTTCTTTGTGGTCCGGACTGAATTCTTTGTAATACCTACAGCTTACCTTGAAACGCAGTGGTCCGATAGGTGGTTTGGCGTAAGGGATTCCTTGGAAGCTGTAGTACGTGCCTCCAGATTTCGTAGTCGCTTCCCTTCCTCTGAGCTTCCCCTGCACAACAGAAACCGTCACGATGTCCGACATGGCCTCGTTACCGAGTCTCTTTCATGTACTTAAGAAAATGTAACGTATCATTTCTGCGAGACTTCACATTGTGATGTGCTGCCTCTCGCATGGAACTAACTGCTTATCGCATTCAAAAACTGCATTGTAATGCTTGCTAAGGAAAACTTTAGTGCCACGTCGAATTTATCTTTCTTGTTAGAGTTTTATCTCGTACTTGCACATTACAATAAAAACTGGCTCGTCATGCTGGACAACCACGTCACCTGCTGGTGTGTGTGTGTGTGTGTGTGTGTGTGTAAAAGCTGATTCTGGCCTCCAGCCGCCACCTCTGAGATGAAAGTGGCAATCATGTTCAGCCATTCCCCCCCTCCCAAAAAAAAAGTCATCTGGAACGTGGTAGGAGGGATGACTAAGCCCCCACCACAACATCCGTATGAAATTTAATTCAACCGCAACGAGATAAGCTACTCCTTGTCAAACTGTTCTGTTTGTTCCATATTTTATTTGTGTGTTTTAGTGTTAAAGATTTCATTTCTCTTGTGGAACATTAACTGCTTATTTAACTTCGCACAAAAATAAATTTCAATGTTTTATACAATGAAGGGGTCAGCCAAGACTTGACTGATTTTAATATTTTCTTATTTCATTTCGACACATACGAGTAGATGAAACTCTTAGGTGTTTATAGCATTGTAGTTTAAAATTTTTGTTGTGATTTCTTCTGAAATGTATTGGATAACTAATAACATGTATTTCGATGCTGTTGTTGGAAAGATGGTAAATTAAATAAAACTGGTTAAAATTAGATAAGCGTATTGTGGAAAACCGACTTGTGTTAAAAGGACAATACTTACAATTTGGTGACGTACCGACATATCGAGTTACATGCATAAAGTCATTCCTTCGTCTCCTGAAAAGTGATGTTCAACTTCCCCCCCCCCTTGTATTAGCACAATAGGAACGTGCCATTTTGCGACTACTGCACGTGTGTAGTCATCTTGACGTGACATTCCAGGGGGCGTGGTCATGGCTTTCGAATGCGTCTTTCTGCACGATCCTGCGTCTTCTTAAAGTCTATAGGGGACAGTTCTTGGGAAACTAATAGTCTCTTGGGTACTCAAGGAATTTTGAGGCTTAATTGAAAGTTAAATTTCGTTAATATGCCCTTATCCTGAGCCAGATGAATTCAATCCATACCCCCGAACTCTATTTCTTTGAGACCACATAATAGCCTCCCATCTACGCTTATGTCTTATAAGTGATTTCTTCCATTTACATGTTTGGGCTTTGGTTTTGTAAACAATCCTTATATCTCCCACGGCGAAGACCCAAAAATTATGAGGCTCCTCGTTATGTCATTTTCTTAAGCAGTTGTAATATTTTATATTAGTATTGCACTAAGATGTACAGTTATGCTCGCATTTATCACCACGAAATAAAGGAGCAGGAAGGGCGTTGATACAGCCACATGAATTTTAATTTCGACACTGCACGGTGATGCCAGCTGACAGCGCCGACAAAGTTTGTAAGATTTTAGGTTCTCAAGGCTTCTTGTCTTCTGGAATGTTGCAGCGTTTATGGTACCTGCAATTGTTGCTCTGATTATGTACTCTCCGATTTACGTCTCAAATTGGCTTGTTTTCTGACATCTTCTTGCCACATAAATGTGTTATATAGCAATATATATGTTTATATATGTATGTAATAGGATAGTTTACTATTGACTGGGTCTGTGTGTATGTGTAAGGCACAGGACTCAACAGACTCACTCGTCTCTTCATCCGTGACGAGTGAAAGGTCCAAGGCCGACGATTGGTCATCTATTTTTCTCTTTTATTTGTCCATAGAAGTGGAACAGTGAATCTGTAACTTGTGTACTAGGACCTTTGTTAGCGCGTATTTAAACGTCAGGCTTCCGGCAAAAACATCAAAACGAAATGTAAAAAATTGTTTTTCCCATCGGTGTGCGAAAGATCCATTTGGTGTGTTTCTAAACGTGTAAGGCGCCAGGAGTTGCCGATAAGTATCTCGCCTTTCAGCCTTGCAGATTAGTTTGTAATCTGTTGTTTGCTGACTGTAGTTCGTTATTTGTATGTGTCTTGTATGTCATGTGATGTCAATTAGTCTGGTGTGTGGATAGACGCAGTGTAGCGACCTGAGTTCTTCTTTGACTTCTGATTTGTGCCAGCATTTGTTGACCTCCGACAGCATGACTGACGATATTCTCAATAATGACGCTGGATGGCAGAGTATTTGTTCTTTTTTAAAGCCTTGTTAGTTATGCAGCTCTCAGAAGTAGGGTGCCACGATAAAGAATTATAAGCCCAAAAATAAAAACATGATATTATAATTTACAGTCAGAATTTCATAACTGTAATTTCGAAAAATTGTCACTTCATCCTTGTTTTTATATATAAATTGTGTAATCACATTTCTCCATCATTAGTCCAAAAGAAAATGTCTTAACAGAGAAGAAAGTTCACCGGCCGTTGGCTTTTAATAACCTGTTGACCCTCAGATCCCCGACGGGGCCGAAGGCCCTCACCTTGAAACGGAGGGCTCCAACAGGAGGATTGGCGTAAGGTATGCCCCGGAAGCTGAAGTAAGTTTGCTGGCACTTGGACGTCTCTTCGCGCCTTCTGAGAGCTCCCTGGGCCACAATCACTGTCACAGTTTCCTGCATAGCTTTGTTCGGATCCCTTGTCAGCAGACTAATGACTGCCAGGCCGGATGCCCAGCACGGCTGTCTGTCTCCCTCCTTCGAATTCCAGTTCGGTGATGTGTACAGATGGTAGGCTCATGTTCTTTGCGCAAGAGTAGATTTGTTACGCCTGTCATTACCTAGGTCAAAAACTTTTCTGCATGGCTGAGTGTAGCTTGTGTAATGACCCTCTTTCGCTGACTGGCGGATATGTAGGTCACCCTTCACCCTTGCATGATTTTTTAAACCAATAATTTGTATGCATTTCTCGTTTCACCTATGCGTTCTGCTCCTTTAATTTCATCGAACCAGCTGTAGACGA